AGAGAGGGAAGGAGGAGGGGGAGGGGGAAGGGGACGGAGAGGGGGAAGGGGAGGGGGAGGGGATGGGGAAGGGGAGGGAGGAGGGGAGAGGGAGAGGGAGAGGGGGAGGGGGAGGGATAAAAGGAGGGGGAGGGAGAGGGAGAGGGAGAGGGAGAGAGGGAGAGGGAGAGAAGGAGAGGGAGAGAAGTAGAGGGAGAGAAGGAGAGGGAGAGAAGGAGAGGGAGAGAAGGAGAGCGAGAGAGAGAGAGGGAGAGGGAGAGAGGGAGAGGGAAAGAGGGAGGGAGAGCTGCCTTACCTCCCCACATTCCAAGCCAAGACCAGCACAGGACTAACAATTCTGGTTTTAACAGACTTCTTCCCATGTCCCTTTCACACCAAGGTGATTCAGACCTCTCAGAGACCCACTTTATTAAGTTCTGCCAGCCCAGCCTACCTTACCATGTATCACTTTGTGGGGAATAAAATACCCCATGTAAACAGCCAAAGGGGAAAACAAAACAACAAAAGTCAAAATAAAAAAAAAGAAACAAAAAAACAAAACCAACAAAAGAATCACACATGATTTTGGTGCTTTTAGCCCCTGTAATGCTGGGATTACTGGTAATTTAGAATATGCTCAGTGATCAAATAGAATTTGTAATTCTTTAAAAATAAATTTGATCAGTTGAACATGAAGTAATTTTCTAATGTAACAATTAGCTCATTTCATTTATTCTATTTCAGTGTCATTATTGAAGAACACGGAGTCATTTAAATAACCTTTGAACTCACAGTGCCATCCGAAATCCAAGAGTTAAACATGATTCCCTAAAATGTGCTTGTATTGTATTACTTTTGGATCCATAATCATCTATGTAATGCACATCTACATTGTTTTATAGAAAATGGGTTGTGTGACAAAATCAATAAAAGAAAAATTTGAACTCCATCCAGCACAGTAAATAATGGAAAAATGCAAGATAGCTAATGCTTGTATCAACAGACACTCAATATATATGCCTGCTCTATTATGTGGCTAAAGGGAAGGGAAGGTTTTATCATGACATGAGTAAGAGAATAGTCAGGAGCGTCTGGAAGACCACAGAGCAGAGAGAGAAAGTAGTAGACTGTACACAAGCAGCAGACAAATCCTGCGAGGGGGGTGAATGAGGAAGGGTGGGAGTGGTGGAGGGGAGGGGGAGGGAAAGAAAGTTTGAGGGAGACAAGGAGAGTACAGCAAAATGGAAGACAAAAAGAAGGACAAAAGAGGCAAAAAAAGAGCATATCCAAAGTAGCTGAGTTATAAAGGAGAATGAATGATGGTGGGAAAAGAATCTCCTGAGCTCCAGTAATTTGAGGGAGGACTGTGGAGATGAGAATATCTGAGGAAAGCCAGGATGCCAGACTGGACATTGACATGTGTTACAGGTACTTGGGAAACCAAGGCTCCTGAAGGGCAGCATACTCTTTCATTTGCTAATAGTCACAGCAGACATCCACTTGTCCAAAGGGAAGTCTCTTGCTTGTAGAGAAAATTTTCTTTATATATTTATGAGGAATGCTGGCTTTTGTCTATCCTCCTCAAGAAGTTGGGAAAATGAATTTTTATTTGGATCGGACAATGTCTAAATAGCTACCTATTGAAAAGAATTATTTTAGTTTTCCCACTTATTTCAGAGATTAGCATTTAAAATTCAATATTATAAAAACGAATTATTAGTTTCCCAAATTACCTTTTTCTTGCCACTTCACTTGTAAAATATAAGGAATACTACCCAATAAAACCTCACCATAAAATGTCTTTCTGTTTGCCAATGGTTTCTTACATGTAATCACCTTGGAAAATTGAAAAATATACAAATAAATGGAGTCAACCTTGGTGTTTTTTTATTTAACTGGTGTGCCCAACTGTAGCTAGAATCACCCATAGGCCACTGTATTTTTCAATTAGCATCTGTTATTTTCCAAGAACTACAATTCTCAGCATTCCAGAAAGTTACCTGGTTCCTTGGAAGGTGAGGCTTACAGGTTAATTATGGACATTACATTGAGAACTGCTGGAAAATATCAGTCATGTAATAACAATGATTTTTGTCCAGAATGATGGGATATAATCCAAATATATTAATTATGCTTTGTAATTTTTAAGCAAACTTTTTAAGTATTTGAAGAAATCTAATTTCTACTCCTAGTTTATAGAAATAATTGATTCATCTCATCACCCTCTTTACTATAAAAGTGTGAAAACTATTTTTTTTATTTCTAAAGTCTGTTACACGACCATTCTCATGAATAATTACATTTCTTTTTAAAAGAAAGACTAGTAATTTATCTGTGCAGTGAGATATCACTAGCAGATCATTAACTTGGTACAATGAATACATCAAACAGCTGTTACTTAGAAAATAGAACATCTGTTAAATGCCATTGAAGTCACTATTCACTGTCATTATAGCTATGGCTATAATTTTTGTTCTGTGCATACTGCTTTCATGAACATGTTCTTTAATGGATGATGCATTATAAAGAAAAAGTCTATATATATTACTTGAAAAATCCAGTAATACATACACACACATATATATATATATATATATATGATTCTTTAATCTATCATTATATTCTGTCACATAATTTAAGTATAAAATATGTTCTCCATATTAAGCCAGAACAGAATAGTGCAAGGTCTCAAAAATAATTTATATCAAAGTTCTTTAAAAATAGAGCACATCTAACTGTTTGGTATCCTATTGTGGAATACAGCATACATACATACATACATACATACATACATACATGTATGCATTCATGCATGTATACATACATACATACATACATACATACATGCACACATACACAATCAATTTAAAGGTAATTTTCCTGGAAAATTAAAATTTAAAAATGCCAGCATATACATTTCTATCATTTAATCTTATTTCAATTGTCCATTTTCCTATGTAAAGCCATGCTAAAATAGTTATACATACACATGCATGACCAAATATTTTGAGATACTTTTTATATGCATATTAGTTAATCCATCATGTACATTTTAGTAAATCAGAAATAAATACAATAAAATTACTGCCGTAGCCTAGTAAAAGGAATGATATAGTAATGAAATGCCATAAGTACATATTTGAATAAATTGCGGTTAGATAAAGACAGAAGCTATAAAATGTCTGTCCGTACAAAATTCTTTAATAGACCAGAGAGATGACTCAGCTGTAAAGAGGACTGGTAGTTATTCCAGGGGACCTAGGTTCAATGCCCAGCATGCACATGGAGGCTCACAACTGTCTGTAACTCCAATACCAGGGGACCTGACAGCCTCACACAGACATACATGCTGGCAAAATACTAAAGAACATGAAGTAAAAATAAATTAGTTTTAGGAAAGGAATTGTTTTGAAAGGACAGAATGAGTGTAGTATGATGTAGAAGTTAGCCTTAGAATAATATTCAGAATGAAGTTGAGATAGTGCATGCTTTCAAGCTCAAATGAAGTCTTAAATTCTTGGAGAAATGTGTCTGTATGTTTATATATGTGAAATTTGATAATTATAATTTTTATAATATTTAAATTAAAAATGAGAGTATCAACAGATCTGGGCAGTGGTAGCCCAATAACACTGCCTCCCCGCTCTCCCTTCTTCCTTGTCTGCCCTCTTCCCTCTACCCTCTTCCCTGTCTGCCCTCTCCCCTCTCCCCTGTCTGCTCTCTCCCTTCCTTTCTACCCACTCCCTACTCCTCTCTCTCCTGCCTGCCCTCTGCTCTCTCCCCTCCTCTCCCCTTCTCCCTTCTCCTCTCTCCCCTGTCTGCCCTCTCCCCTCTCCCCAGTCTGCCCTCTCTTCTCCCCTCCCTCCCCTCTGCCCTCTCCCCTGTCTGCCCTCTTCCCTCTTTCCTCTCTTCCCTCCCCTATCTGTTGGCACTGCTCTCTCAGTTGCCTCTCTTTCCTGTCTGTGCTAGTGAGAGTTGGGCATAACCTATATCTGATTAATTGTATCACAACTTTCTCTGATTTGTTATTTTGTCTGGCCCTCAATTAAATGTCACATGTCACATTTAACATGGCTGGATCTCTTTAGATGGCTCAGCTGTTAAAGGCTAGGCTCACAACAACAACAGTAACAAAACAAATTACTTTAACTTCAATGTTTGAAATTAAAGGTGTGTATTAAGGACATGTCTATATTCTATCCAGATCTTAATATAACAAAATGTGTGTCTGCATTCCAGCCAGAAAATATAGATGTAGAAGATTTTAGATGTTTTCCCAGAGCAGCCTGGTTGCTGAATTAAAATTCCTTAACAATTCATCTTAGTCTATGTACCTCATCACTAAGACAACCATTAGTATGCCCTAAAATAACTTTTACTATTACCTATTATGAATTGATCTCAATGCGTTTTCCCAATTACTATGATTATGATGATAATTTTCATAATACAAACTTAATCTGTTTTACCCATTCCTTCATGATAAACAAATCAGAGTAATTTAAAAATACTTTTGGGGCTAGGAAATAGTACATTTATTTACTGGAAACCATCAAACTTATTGCTTAATATTTTTGTACCTACCTGATCAAATTTTAACCATAAAATGTTAATGTTTACAACAATTTTGGTTATCTGTAGAATTCTTCTCATGGTAAACATTTTCCTACACCACAATACCAATAGATGACACATATGCAGTTCCAATGTTGCTATTCTTATATCTACAAAAGTAGTTATAACATAGTGAATATAATGAATATAATCTTATGTTTTCCTCACTTTAAAATACAAAAGGAGCTTACACACAACAACTTGAGTGAGAAACCTAAGTATAATTGAGTATCAAGGCAATATTGTTTTATTTCTGTACCTAGAACAATGGTTACCTTCTATATTTATAGAGCTTCTATTTTACCCTAGAGTGTATAGGATTTTTAAAGGGTTTAAAATTAATTTGTATCTATTCATTTCTAAATGAGCTATGTCTGCCCAAACTTGGTACTTATTCTAAAAGACATTTAATAATAATATCTGTGACAATTCTACAATAGTATCTGGTATCTAAGAGTAATTCAATAAATAGTCATGATTGATATCTGAACAAATTGATTTTATGCAATTCTAGTCTCATACTTGTACAACACATAAAACCTACATTATAAGTAATCCTTTTTCTTATAGCAGATAAATTTATTTGACATGAGTTTCTTGAATATCAGTATTTTAATATAAAATGATAATAAAATACAAATGTAAGAATCCATAGATGAAAATGATTATTTCTTGAGAATACCTATGAGTAAGAAACCAGTATGATAGCGATATATTATTATCTTCTTTACATTAACACATCTATGATTGTGCTTGTATAAATTTTATTTGAATCTACTTGTGAAATTGCCATGGTGATTTGTTGTTATTCATCTGTGATTTTTGTCTTGTTTTGACTTTGGCTATGGTTACTATTTGTAAATGACTTATCTCCTTTGTATCAGTCTTTTTTGCATATTTATTTTATACTTAGGAAACATTGTGAGAAGGATTCATTAAGTTTAATTAGGTATCAAAAATATTCATGTCTCCCAAAGGCTGAATATACTGCTGTAAAAAAAAATAATTGAGTCATAGTGGTTTAATTTTAAAAATACAGGTATTTAGTCATTGATGAATCTTAAATTGTCTACCTTTAATAAATACATGATCAAATTAATAAACATACAATATTAATTGAAAAATATCTAGGTTTAGTTATTAAACATATATAATTATGATTAAAATACTATCACATTTGTACAACAATGTACATCCAATATACCCAATAATGAAGCTATAATATATAAGGGAAGATTTCAGGGTTCATAAACACATGGTTTTAGGTTCATGACCTTACAAAAACCTTTGCATAACAACCCAACTCACAAGCCTTTTTACAAACATAATGTCTTAATGCTATATACAGTGTATTACTTGACGCTTAATGCTATTTTTTATTACAGGCTACTCAGAAAGAGATTGAGAAACAGAAGGCTCACTTGAAGAGTGTCACAGAACTAGGAGAGTCTTTGAAAACAGTGTTGGGCAAGGAAGAAACCTTGGTGGAAGATAAACTGAGTCTTCTGAACAGTAACTGGATAGCTGTCACCTCCAGAGTAGAAGAATGGCTAAATCTTTTGTTGGTAAGAATAGAGGTTTGAATTTAAAGGCAACAGAGGATACTTAAGATTAGTATCACAATCTTCATAGACCCCCAAAGAATATATTTTTGGTTAAACAATAATGTGATGTGCTAGTTAGTTTTCCACTGCCATAACAAAATGCATAAGACAATCAACTTTTAAAGAGGAAAGTATTATCTTAAAAAAAAGAATAAAGGCCTTTTGTCTTAGGTTTTATTGCTGTGAAGAGGTACCATGACCACAGCAACTTTCTAAAAAGAAATCATTTAATCATGGCTGGCTTAAAGTTTCTGTGACTTAGACCGTTATCATCATGGTGGGAAACATGACAATACGCAGGCTTATAGGTGTGCTAAGAGCTCTTATTTTTGATCTACAGGCAGCAGAATGAGAGATTGTGTTCCATAGTGGGCAAAGCTTGAGCATATGAGACCTCAAAGTCAATCCCCACAGTGAGAGACTTCCTACAACATGGCCCAACGTACTTCAGTAAAGCCATGCCTCCTAATAGTATGGACCATTATTTATGGGCCTCTGGGGACCATTTTCTTTTAAAACATGCCACTTTTCCACTCTTATTTTTCAACAAGTTAACAAAGCAAAACCAAGAAAATAGTAACTTAGGAGTGATATTTGTGTTTAAAAATCCAACTGCTCTCTTTATATACTGATATAGAGGTTCAAAATTCCAAGAAATTTTTAAATACTTAACATTGCTTTCTATTTTTGATATGTTACTTAAAGAGAATTAAAATATTTTATTGTTTTATTTGTAGACAGTTGAACAAATGTTTTAGAAATTTTGTTTAACCAATAACATGGTATATTTCCATGCAATTCAGGAATATCAAAAGCACATGGAAAACTTTGATCAGAACATAGAACAAATCACAACATGGATCATTCATGCGGATGAACTTTTAGATGAATCTGAAAAAAAGAAACCACAACAAAAGGAAGACATTCATAAGGTAGCAAATAAAATTTTATGAGAAGTAGTTTTAAACTGTACATTTTATAACAATATTTTTTGAACTACAAAATACTAGACTTTTTCATAAAGCCTAATATCTTTATTTTTCCTATTATTATGCTTCATTCTTTTGATCATCCATCATTCTTTTCTATCTTGCAATATTCATTCCTCTCGTTGTTTAGAAATTAATGTCAATATAGAGGTCTATAATTTGGACATTTGTCCAACTTCATATCTGACCTCTCTATACTTGAGCTCAACCCATAAAGGGTTGGAAAACTTATTTTTCTGCCACATTTTAATTCATTCTTACTTTAATAGCAGTATTATTGTGTGTATCATCAACATAGTTTCTAGTTTATTTATGTAGCCCTTGTTAAATACTCATTTTTCTATGTGCTAGTGTCAAAGATCAATCTTAGTATACATTTAGTTTTGCTGCTCTAGGAACCCTAAATTCAGTGCTGAAAACTCCCAGGTTTTTAATATTTATATCATTCCACAATAGATTATTTAAGGGCATATGACATTGTTTCATGTACAAATTATTCTAAACTATTACACAAATTTACTTTAATGTAAAACTTATGGATATTTATGAAATATAAATTAATTTTTGTTTGTTCTTGGACAAATTATCAAGATACCACATTGAACAAGGGCAAATACTACAAAATCTAAAGTATAAAATACTTTTTAGAACAATTGAATAAGGGATATTTCAACATGATATTGTTCTTTGTCATTAGCTTATGTATACTAATGCACATGTAAAGAAAATTAACATATTTTAACATGTTTTTCACATTTTTTAAAGTTATTGTTCAGACATCCTTTGTCTTCAGTCACAAGATCAAATTAACTGTTGCTTTAAAATACGATTTCTAAAACAGGATGTGTGAAGCAGGTGTATATCTTATTGATACTTTATGTCTATTTGATGTCTTGCATTAATCAAATTAAAAATGTTGATTTTTAGAGATATCATTAAATTAATAACTCACTACTTCTTAGTAATGTTTGATTACTATTACTGTTTAAAAATTCAGCTACTATTACCATTTCTGTCTTTCCTTCATTGTGGTTACTAGATTTTGAAAACTTTGGATATCCCTATGTTGGACAAATCATTGTCTTTTAACTTGTAAATTCTTGTAAGTCTTTCAAGATCATAATGGTACACCATCATTTTTAGCTCTCATTTTATGTTTTTGTGCTGAGGATTTTAAATTTTTTAATGAACTACTAAAGACATTCTAGGATATCTTTAAAACATATTTTTCTGATTATCTGGGTTATACATAGGTATGGATCTCTGCTATAACCTGTAGTCTTAATTCTTATAAAATCAAGGGCTAACATATAATGATGAAATTGATGTAAATATTTTATATACTACAAGCAGGATATTTGAAATATGGAGCCTTTCTCTACTTGTTTCATGCAAAATATTCCTCCTTTTATATGCAGTGCAGTATATCTATGTACTAAAGAATCACCCTTTCCATGATATTCAAAAAAATAAACAAGTTCTCAGAAGTATCAGTAAGGAATAGGAAAGTGTGCTTCAATTATTTTTCCTCCTAAGCACACAATTCAGTGGTGCTATAAATGTTAATTCCAGTAAAGATAATAGAAATATCTTAACTGCATAATAATATGCTCATTTCCAGACAATAACTAAAAGCCAAATTTTTTCGTTAAGTGGACAGATTAAATAGACATATATGAAACTTAAAAAAGTAGTGTCCTAGTAGTTTTAAGATGACACACAGCTTAAGTCTACTTCCCTGTTAATGAAATTGGTTTTGTTTTTTTGTTAATAAAATTGGTTTTGTTTTTTTCACTCTCTACCTCTGCATGTGTGCCATTCTTCTTGTCATGTCTTCCTCTTCCTTTTCTCTTCTGCCCCTCCCTACATCTCTTTCTCTCTCTCTCTCTTCCTCTCTGTGTGCTACAATTTGATTACTAACTTAAAGCCCTGTTTCTTGCTCATGGAATATAGCGTTTAAAGGCTGAAATGAATGACATCAGCCAAAAGGTGGACTCCACACGTGACCAAGCAGCGAAATTGATGGCAAACCGCGGTGACCACTGCAGGAAAATAGTAGAGCCCCAAATCTCTGAGCTCAACCGTCGATTTGAAGCTATTTCTCACAGAATTAAGACTGGAAAGGTAGGAAGATCTACTTCAAGGTGGAAACTTGTCCTAAATGATCTCTTGAGAAGGTTGCGCAATACTCTGAAGGGGGCAAGGAATCCCCACAACAAGGTTTTCAAAAGGAAAATGAAAATGAAGCCCAAAATATACTTAAGGAAGTTTTGCCACTGACTATAATGGAGATACATCTCTCTTACTTTCTTTCTTTCTTTCTGTCCCACGTTTTCCTGCCACAGCTATACTAGAACTGCACCCTGCAATGCAATGGTTTACATTTGTGCTTTCAGGGATCACCTATAATTCAATAACAGAGCATGCAGAAGGCCAAAATTTTAAAAAAAGTAATTTAAAAAAGCACAAAGAACATCTACCTAAACCAAGCACTACTGAAATATTTTGCTAAATATAATATTGCTCATATGTAATGCATATCATATATCCACCATAAGGCCTTGTAAGATGCATGATCTAGAATATTTGTACCCCTTTCCTTGTTATGCACATTTATGTACATAATTTGCTCATGCTAGCTAAAGCATTGTGACAAAATCCATTAGGATATACTGACATTCTCAAGACTTGAAATCAAATGTGAAACTTAAATTCTATACTTTGTGTAGTTTTGTATGCCTATTTCAATTTTATTGAATTAAGAACTGGAGAATATAGTATTTTTGCATGATAATCTTCAAGTTTATATAAAATGTAATGATATAAAATATTCTTAAATAGTTTGCCAAAATATGTAAATATCAGATTATAAAATTCCAATGTTTTGGGGAGGATTTGAAATGCAAGGAATTATTTGAAAATTTACACATTGTAGTCTGACCCATTTTTTCAGTCTAATACGGAACATATGCAAATATGAATCTGTACAAAAACACATATTTATAAATATAATTATATATTGGAATAGCGTAATTGAAAAATTAATATATATTGATAAAACAATTCAGGTTTGACCATATTGAGCTTTATCTGCATTTTCTTATTTACTAAAATTGACTAGATATGATATTGATACTGTGCTAGGGTTCTGAAGGAATAATTATATCTTATCATCACAGTAAAACTAAAACTGCAGAGATGAAGTATACCTGATGATTTGCCTATTTACTTGTTGATTTTCAGGAAAATACAATGCATTAAAATTTATTTTTATCAATATCATCATCAAATTATATATATATATATATATATATATATATATATATATATATGACAATCTCTAAAGTTTCTAAGGCATTGAAGTGATTCTGAATATATATTTGAAGTATGCTTTAAAATATATAAAATATATGAAATGTATTAGAAATTATAAATAATTTATATCATCAATTATCCTAAAATTCCCTTTCACAAAATACATAGTGCATGACATTTAAAAAATGTTTATCAGGCTCTTAAATTATGTTTTGCATGCATACTTCTTTAAGATTGTACTCTTGTTCTTAATTAGCAACTGTTGTTACTTCTGATGATATCTATGATGTAGTTAACACCTGAATAACTGAAGGAATTTAATTTCAGCAACCCTATGAATGTTATTAAATTTTATGTTGTTCCCATGATGCATATACAATTTTGATAAACTACTGATCTATAGGATATATAAAAGAATATGTGGATGTACTTTTCTGGAAATTATGTCCTGAGATTGTGGCTCCCAGATACTACGTTTAAAAAGAGAGAGTTTATTCTTTATAATAGGACTCTCTTTAAGAAAATTTCATAACCAAGTTTTCAAAGTAAATTTTTCCTATATTCTGCATGAAAATGTGATTAGCAATTTAGATATGATGCAACAAGTAGGGCATGCAAATCTAATATTTTACTCATCCTTCCAAGCAAGCATAAACTATTCCAAATCAATTGTTTGAAACATATATTGATAAATCAATCACATTTTATGTCACCGAGTATTCTTTTTCCCTTAATTAACAAAAATGACTAGATATGATATTGATACTGTTTTGAAGAGATAATTATGCTTTATCATGCTAAATCTACAACCACATTGATAAAATGTATCTGATTATCTGTTGTACCATAAATAATATTGAACTTCCATTTTGCTGATAATTGTACAAATGCAAGGATGTTAATATATTTGGTTAAAAAATATCTGTTTACAAACACAAAACCAAAATTAAAAATATGTTTAATATTCAAACCTCTTCAAGGGGATTTAAAAACACTAAGTTGGAGTGAACAAAGGTAAATTTGCCAAAAGCCTGGAGATAGGTAATTTCTCTTAATGTCTATGTTTTCATATAATGTAGTTTGTGTGTGTTTGTTGTGTTTTTCTTTGGTTTTTTTTACAATAAAGGTTTATTTGTTTGAGTCAAAAATCTTTAAAGGGTATAATAGCACCTAACAAATTTTTGGTAAATTATTAAAATTAAAATGAACTTCATAGAAAGGCATATAGTTTTCAAAATGAAAAACTTCAGCACAATGAGATTTAAATTGCTTTTACCAGCCAGCCTGTCCTATAAATTTCTTAAATGTAACAATGTTAAAATATCTACAAGGTTTCTACAGTGATTGTTAATAGAACATCATTGTATCCTTTGACTACAAAAGGAAAAGAGATAAAACACTGAATTGCATTTATCTTTTAAAAACAATTATAGATTCATAATTTTAAGCAACAGTTCTGTAAATTTGATGTATAAATTATATAATAAAAAGAATACAATTTTAAAGGTATAAAATTTAATATTATGCACATAAGTGTTCAGGACCTTGTTATACTTGTAGCTTTAGTATAGTAATACTGCACATCTTTGTATCTACACCAAAAGAAAAATGACCATGACCCTCCACAATTATTCAAAATTGAATGTATAAAGTAAAAAATAGTGGAGTTACTAGGTCGAGAGGGATTATAAACGCTTCAAATTTTTATTCCTATGATTGAACTCAAGAAACATAATTTGTATCTGTAGAATATAGTATAGACTTTTTCCCTCTCCCTTACTTGATGCCATATCTTCCTGCTGGAGGTGGGTTTTACAAGTTCCCTCTACCTACTGTCAGGCATTTCATCTAAGTTCCCTCCCTTTGAGTCCTGAGAGTCTCTCACCTGGTATTAACTTTTTCAGTGTCTGTCAGTCAAAAATACTATTACTTTTGATTTGGACACTTCAGGATTTTTGTCTTGACAAATTGTATCTTTAAGATATTTGGTATCGTAGACATAATTCTGTTTGTGGAATAGGATTCTGATAGTGTCTCCTTGATCTTAGATGTATAAACAAGATTAGCTGCTGTTTGAAATTGCAGTTACTTCCCTGGGTAGATTTTCTCGTGAAAAAGTATAGCTTAGGACAAAATCTTTGTTGGTAGTTGCAACATGCAAATTCTTTGTTACTGAATAAGAGGAAATTATGAATTGAAAATAAGGATTAATTTTAGGCTAGCCCCCTTTCAGTCAAATTTCAGGACAACTAATTAGAGCAAAAATAATCAAGAAAAGTCACTGACTATATTGAGTAATTAATAAATACTAAACTAATAAAACACATCCAATTTTCTGACATGGATTCTCTATCATAAGAAATGGTAAAAGTCAAAGCAGTGAGACCTGAGACTCCCAGTTAGTACTAGATGGGGAAATATAACAAGAATTGAGTTCTTAAGTAGAAACCCCCAAGTTGCTTTGTAAACTAGCTAAATATAATTGTCTAATTTGTGTAATTTGTGTGTTTTAGCGTATTTCCATTTTAATCTCAGGACATCATTGGCATCTATCAATTTATGAAGATAATGCCTGTCAAATTTTAACCTCAACGTTGTCATGTGAATAAATGATGTAAGAAGCAGATATTTAGAAAAATCATGTTATATAGATTTGAAACAGTGAAAAATGTGAAAAAATATTATTTTATTAGCTATATCAAGACACTGATTACTTATTAAATTTTGAGAACTAAGAAAAGCATTGTTGGACAAAGAGTTAGAAAAGTAATATATTTCTCTTTTTGGTTTCTGCTGGAAAAGACTAGTGAGTGTGTGTGTGTGTGTGTGTGTGTGTAAAGAATATTCAACAAAAGGGTAATTAACTAGATTTTTAAAAATACTAGAAAGTTCTACTTCACCTAATGCATCACTTAAATTATTCAAAATGTTACTTCTTCCTATTCATTTAAATTTAATAAATTTCCAACTGTTTGAGAACCTGAAATTTTTTATAATCATTATGAGATTAGTTTAAAGACATGGTAGTTCTAGTGAAGAATTTCAAAATTATAAAATTAAACCACAGTCCTTTAATAGCTCTTAGCAAAGTTGAAAAAAGTAAGAAATAATACCTTGTCTAAACTTTGTTTTAGAGTATCTGAGTTGAATAACAATATGATTGTCAGGGAGTGCTATTAGGAACAGAAGGTGCTATGAAACAGATACATAGGAAAGAAATTAGAAAGAAATGTAAGGTACATCTTAATGTGGTTGCTTAGGAAACTTCTATTCTTCATTCTAGTAGAAGACAACTGAAAGGAGAGGAATTAACATTTGAAGAAAAGGTTGTTTTGGTAGGTCTTAAAGAAGGAATAAAGATAGAATTGAGAATAAAGAAAATGACCAGATAAATTCTCATTAGCCTTATATTATTTTCAGAGCACAAAGTTTGGTCCTGTGGGGACTCCTGTTAGCTCAAATGTGATTAACTTTAAGTAAATTACTAGTATATTCAAAATATATTCATGAATGCTGTATTGAGAGTCATCCCCATCATATGTGAATTTAATAGTAACTCAAAGAGCTTTTAGGAGATAACAGTTTTGGAAAAGCCAAAGAAAAGGCTCCAGTATACAGTGTATTCTAGAGACTAAATTAACATTCCTTAGGGACAGAAGGCATGGAATATGAAGCTTATTTTTGGATGATAAAACTGAAGAGGCTGATTAGAGTCATATAAAGGACATGCCAACAAGAATAATACATAGTCCTTAATTTAGCATCCAATGAGGACTTGTAATAGTTCTGATTCACACATTCTTGAAGGA